TCCTGCGAGTTTAAAAGTTCCACTAACAAAGATTATATTTTTATTAGCATGAAAAAAAATTTTGGCAGTTTGAAAACTCGTTTTTAAATAATACACTTGAGATACCTAGTCTTAAAAGCTTACTGACTTGATTAAATGTGGAAAAAATTAATAACGATTAAAAAAATAATAACAATAAAAAAAAAGAAAATTATAATAGTAGTAACAATAATAATAATGATAATAATATTAATAATAAACGAAAAAAAACAAAATTTGTACACTTCTACATTCACAAAGTAGCATATGAATATAAGAAAGTTATTAAAGATTTTTAAAAAAACACCAGTGAATCACTCCAAGAAGCTGCGCTACGACCATAAAAGGCATCGATTGTCAACGGGAGGTGAAACGTCAACAGATGAAACCGACTAAAGCACAATTACAGTAAACAATTATATCTTACCAAAAGCACTATGCAAATCTGGAGTAAAAAAACACACACATACACACAAAATACTGTCCAGAAAGTACTTTCTATCAGACAACTATAGTAGCTGATGCAGCCGTCATTGGCACTCGTCCATTTCTATCGCTCTATATCTCCTTGCGCTGATGATTCTTATGGTGTTTTTGTCCCTTTCGCCTACGCCGATGGATGAGAAACTGCTCGAGTGCAGTTTCGTCTCGTGAGATGAAGAGGAGAGAAGAGTAGAGGTAAATACAACAAAATGCACCTCTCCGTCGCATGCCCATCTGTTTATGCGTTTTGCTTTATGCTGTATGCACACGAGAAATTTCACGAAAAATTTCATTAGGAATATGACGTTTTGAAAATTTATTGACAAATTTTGTAATCTCGTAAGTCTTTGCAAATTAATTTTTAGTTTACTTTTTCAAGTACGATTATATTTATACTTAATTAGTTGGTACTGTAAATTATTTTGAAATTTTAGGAGCAGATTATGCAGTGAATCAAAAAAAGATTACTTCTTTTCATTATGATTTTTTGCGTAGCAAAAATTAGTTGAAACTACAGTTTATCTTTACAAATATTAAATCTCTTTTTACAAGCATTATATTAAACATATTTGAAAATTTTTGTTCTACGCACCTGTTCTGAAAATATCTATGTAAATAACAAAAAAAAAATGTTGTTTGCAAGTATTCAACTTAAAAAAATAAATACAGCATCCAGAAATTAAATATACGTATATGTATAGGCATACAAAAAAAAAAAAAAAAAAAAGTCATCCGTGTATTACAAAGCACGTACATTCGCAGAATGCATGGTCTGAAATATTTGCAATTGATACTTCAATAATTTTGTATTTTATTTTAATTACAATCATAATGTAAAAAACAATAATGTATATTTTAAAATTAGTTACAATTTTATATTTCTTTAAAACTAATTACGACTTTGCTCACCTCCTTATGCTGCACCACCCCTCGAATGAGATCACGTATAATTAGTGTCGTTGTGTCTCTATTTTTCCTGCTTTATATGTCTTCTGCGCATTGTCATATCGGCTTAATAACCCAAAGCGTTTTTTTTTTTTTTCATATGATCGTTCAAATATTTTCTTACACTTGGACCTTAACACCACTATATTTTTTTGCTCCCTCTTATTTTCATGTTAGTTTAAGGGAAAAAAACTCACAGAATTAACGTAAGATCATAAATATTAAGGCTATTTATTTTAGTAGAGGTAATTAGAATGTTGAGGAAAATTCTAAATAACTTTGAATTTCGTTAACTTAATGAGAAACACGAAGTTTGAAAATACATTTTCTGTGTCAAGCTACGCAGAATATAAATCGCTGTCTCATTAAAAAAGTAACAATATATAATATTTTTTTTTTTTTTTTTTAACTACGTAAACATTATTGACAAAGAAAACGTTTTCCATGTTAGACCTGAAAAAATATGTTTGTCTCTTATAATGTAAATTCTTTAAAATTATTTTTTTCTGTTATATTGTTCTAATACCTTAAGAAATAAAAAAACACCACCCTAGTGGTAGAGACTCTCACAAGTTCTTATCTTTGAACGACATATCTTATATCTCTTTTCATAATTGAAAAAAAGCCAATTTTCTACTTATTTTTTCATATCTGTTGTTTAGCAGAGCTAGTAATATTTAAAATTACCCAACGGTCGAATCAAAGCGTTAAAAAAATTTTATTCCCTAAATAATAGTTGTTACAATTATTTTTCAAATGTATACTTGTAAAAGTTGCAAAACAACGGAAAGCTCGATCGACAAACTCAGCAAAACAATACATTAACATGTATGTAAGTATGGACTGGTACGTAACCCATCCACTTGTCGAACATGTGTTGACACATACATCATGCAACTCCGTAAGTATGCCCCGCCTCTTTACCCAATCTACCTTTCCGGTATACAGCAAAGGTAAAATTTTTATACATCAAAAAAAAAAAAAAAAAAAAAAAAAAAAAATAGAGGAAGAAGATATCGCGATGCAAGTTTGTGGATTACGCAAGTATGGAGAGCGCACGTGCAATTTTCAGTAAGAGCTAGCTGCACGGCACACGAGTCGAGCGTACAAGGTATGTAATGAGAAGCGCCGGCTTTATATACCGCATCCATACACACACACACACTCGTCTGGTTGACAAAGTTACAGCTCTTTTCCGCGCAATCGGCCGGGTCTGCTTTCGTTCTCCTTGATGCCCTCCTCGATGCTGGCCCTGACCTCCATCTGCAGATCGTCGTCTATCATACTGAAAGTGTCGACGCTCGTTTGGTCGTCGGGTATAATCGTGTTTTTCATGAAACCACCGCAGGCGAACTCGTAAAAGTTGTCGCACGGGTCGACATCCGGATCCATGTTGCCCAGAATCACCGATGCTATTTAGTTGCATACGTAGCGTAAGAAATCGACGGATAAATTAATCGTTCGCTGTGAATCCAAGTGTTTTGAAACTAAACATACTTGAGGTAGTTGTATCGCACAAATTTGGAATTGTCAGGAAAAAAATTATGTCTTATATTAAAAAGAAAAAGGAAATTCTTTAATTATAACTAACCATTGCCGGTATTATATGAATAAACAGATGCATGTATGCGTTTATTAGAGTTAAAATTAATTTAAGCACGTTAGCGTCAGTGTTGATTGCATGTCTGGAGTGTCACGTGTACTTAGAAGCTAAGAAATGGTGCAAGAAGAGCGTGAGAAAGGAGAGTTTGTTCATGCTGTATTATGTGAATTGTTTTGGATGAATACTTGTAAGACAATTGGTGTAATTTTAAAGAAATTTTAAAGAATTTTCTTATATCAAATTTTATTTTTTCTCTAGTTTCTATGCTTTACAGCTCAATTGTTTGTATTCGTTTAACCATTAATTTTTTGCTTTTAAAATTTTTCAACAAAACGCACACATACAACACCTTATGACAAAAATTAAATAAAGATCCTATAACTACAAACATTCGAAACAAAGCAATAGCGATTCTCATCCCAAAGCAATCGATCGTCACCGGCGACGATCAGTATCCTACACGAATTAATCAGCACGACTAGACAGCGTTGCTCTGTATGTGTGGTGTATATTCCGGTTATCCCGACCAAGTTATTTTGGGAATCCATTTGTAAAAAAAAAAAAAAAAAAAAAAAAAAAAAAAAAAAAAAAAAAAAAAAAAAAA